AAAGCAATTTCTTTCCGGGTGGCTCTAGTATGAAAGACGTAGTGCTCAGCAGGATCGTGGCCACCACAAAGGCGGAGATGACCTTGGACTCTTGACAGCCATGAATGTCAAGCTGGAGTTTCAATTACCGGCTCCCGTGCCTCCGGGAGATGAGTGCTTAGAGGAGCTACAGCTGTACTTTCCTGGGACAGGCTGCTTTGCCCATCAAAAAATTGTCCGGGTCGTCCAAGACCAGGAAGATGCACCTCGACACACAAACACACGCAGACACACGCGCACAACGACACATCAAAAAACACGCACATGCACACACATGTAGTGTATGTATACATATGTATGTATACATATGTAACATGTACACATATATGACTATGTAAAGTCTGCAGCAAAGTGAGAGGTGAAGGCGAAGCTGGCCTGCACCAGTGCATCTCGTTGGTGGAAGGCAACCAGCTCACCCTCTTCGAAGGTAAAGGCCTCAGCTTGCAAAAGGCCCGAGGATCACTCAGCAGCCGATGGCGCATCAGAGCGGCCTTGCCCTTTCCTTCTCTTGCATTCCAGGCACTGCACATCCGGTGTCCCGCCTGTCTCACCGACATCCTCAGGTGTAGCGATCTTCGACGCCACAGGCATACTAAGATTGCTTTCCCTCTCGCTGCATTTCTAGTGCTTGGGAATGCGCGCACCGTCCTTTGCAACTTCATGCATGGGCATCAGCCTGTGCCCCTGGCCTTCCGCGGCACATCAGGGCTGTGGTGGGCGGAATGGCTGAGCAGACTTGAAGTTCCCATTCCGACACCTGCCGCTTTGCTGAGCTCGATCAACGGGCAAGAACACGGATTTCCGTCCTGCGAAGGATGGTGACCGCGACGACCTCGTTCCCGTGACATAGGGCCGAACACCTGGTGCTCAGCTGGACCATAAGCCAAACTACGTCTGGAAGTCGAAGAGAAATATCATTCTGCAGACGCCAAATCTCCGAGAAGTGAATGTCGAGGAGTCCCCAAGATCTACAGCCATCGCCTTGAGCATCGGATCTCCGCAGCAAGGCCTGCATCCGAATGTAGGCCTTCACAGGGCCGCAGCGAGCGCCAGCTGTTCCGAGGAGGGCGCAGCTTGGCTGCTCCGCCATGTGGGTGACACGACCCACGCCTGCTTTTGGAGCCTCTCGTGGCGTCTTGCCCATTCCTCCAAGCCTCGTGCCAGGACGTAAGTAGACACACCAGGACCCTCGTCAAAGCAGGTTCATATGCGCAAGAAGACCAGCCAAGGAACTGTTTTGCTGCGCTGCAGCATGTCTTCTAAGGGAGGTCCTCAGTCACTGGCATCCCATTCTGAAATCATCCGGTGAGCAGTTGGCACAAAGTGGTAACCTGCAACACCCTTTTGTTTCCATGCGAGGCACTTGAGAGAAGCTGGAAGCGATGCGAGTACTTCGCCAGAATCAGCGACAGCAGCTGTAGACATCCTTGGCTGCTTTGTTGTCTTCGAGCTGCACCTGGTGCCAACATGCACCTGCTACTAAAGTCCTCTAAGCGTTATCTTCCAGAGCCAGTGACTCGTAAGTAGTACATACGAACTACTGTAGTTCTTGAAGATCCTCTGCTAAGCCTCGTATTGGTCGTTCCCTGCCCGACCACCAGCAGCTCCAGGTCCTCGGAGGACACATCTTCGACCTGCGAAAGAAGGGATTCACTTCTCTGCCATGTGCAGTAGAGCGAGACAAGACCAAAGCAGGAACTTCTACTTCTATGAGAAGAGTTAGGATCTGTATTCTCCCAACAGCCTCGCTGTGAGCTCTGTTGCCTTGATCGCCCCGCGCTCCTCAGATGTGACAGCTGCTGCGCACATGTACAGACCATGCCAATGGAAGGAAGACACACCAACTGAGCAAGTGATGCCATTTTCGGCCAGCGTGACGTTTGCACACTGCAGGTATTTGCCCTTCTTGCTGTGTAAGCAATTCGTAGCCGCTAAAGCCACAGGAGTTGCGCTAATGTCAGCTGCGACATCCCAGGCAGAGTCCGGCGCCTTTGAGCGCAGGCTCCTTTCAGGTTTCGGCTTTCGGCTCAGTAGGAGGATACGTAGCCGCCAGGTGGGGAGCTGTCGGCCTTCACCGAGACTGAGACACTCTTCACCAAACCACGTGGGGCATCGACGGCGTTGCCTTTGAGGATCCCCATCATGTAGGCCAACAGCTGCAGCGGAAGCATGGCAAGCAATGGCATCAGGTATTCATGTGTCTCCGGCACTCCAATGACGTACTCACAGAGCTTTTCCAGCTCGTGGTTGTGCTTCTCGGTGATCGCAATTGTGGCACCATTTCGAGCTCGGACTTCTTCGATGTTGGACTTTATTTTCTCGTAGGTGGCATCTGCTTTTGGACAAATCACCACAACTGGCATAAACTCGTCTATAAGCGCAATAGGGCCATGCTTCATCTCTGCTGCAGGGTAACCTTCTGCATGTATGTAAGCCAATTCTTTGCATTTCATGGCTCCCTCCAGTGCGATTGGGAAGTTGAAGCCGCGTCCCAAGAAGATAAAGTTTCTCGCCAGAACATTCTGACAGCCAATGTCCCACAATGGGCACTCGCCGATCTCAATGGAGCGATCACCAACTTCAGTGACTAACGGCTTGGCCTCCTTGTCTAAAACCTCCTGCATGCTGTCCGGGAGCTCCTGCAATCTTTGGACCAGGCTCTCCCTCTCTGCGCCAATCTGGCCGCATTCGTCTGCCAGGGCGAGGCTGAGGAGCACAAACATCATGTTGGTTGCTGAGAAGGTTTTCGTTGACGCGACGCCCACGCCCTGGCCAGCACCCACATCCAGAACACAGTCGCACTCTCTGGCAAGGGTGGAGTCCAACTGGTTCACAATGGCGATAGTGAGAACACCAGTTCCGCTGGGACTGTTCCTCACGCGGCGAAGCGCCTCCACCGCATCGGTTGTCTCTCCTGACATTGACACAACTACTAAAACATCGCCTGTTCGCAACGTTGGCTCGCGATACCTGAACTCCGAAGCATACTGGGATTCAACAGGAATTCGCGCCATCGTCTCGATGAGATACTCCGCCAGAATAGCGGCATGCCATGAGGTCCCCGAGCCGATCACGGTGAGCCTATGGCAAAAGCCCTTGTCGGACATCCGGCTCTGAGAGCACGCTGCGAGGATCTCCAGCGGGCTCTTCCCTGCAAGGCCGTGGGCCTCAGGCAACGGCTTTCGAAGTCCCGGAATGTCGACCTTGCCATCTTTCAGATGTGCCTGAATGAGCCGACGCAGGACGCGCGGCGTCTCCCAAATGTCACTTAGCATGCCCTGGGCCGATATCCGGTCTGCAATTTGCAGAGGTGCCTGCATAGATCCAGCTCTCTCTGCCTTCTCTTCAGATGCCATGGCGGGCCACCGGCCACTAGACCAGACTTCAACGCCCCTTTGAGCCGACTTGGGAGATGATGGAAAAACACTATCACTACTGCAATCGGTGTTGAGCAATGCCGAAAAGATGGTCCAATGGTAGCCAGGGAAGCCAAGCCACCCGTGTCTGCCGCGGGAGGCAGGTTCAGCGACTCCCGTACAAGCTGCTCAAGAAGCATCTGCTCCTGTCGCTAGGAAACAGGAAGAGTCAGCTTTCCATGAAATCAGGATCGGGCAGAGCATCGCAATCACGTTTGATGTGCTGCCGCATGCTTTCCGCGAGCCTCGGCAGCTCGTGTCTCCTGTTCCGCGATCCATCTCCTTGGCGAGTCTTCTGACGCTCGCCGAAGTTAAGAAACCGCAGGTTCTTCTGCCAACGTCAGTTTGCACGCGGCACTGTACTTCCGAAGGCACGGCAGTCAAGCTAAGGTTCGAAATGTGCTCCGTCTGGCTAGCCTGGCAGCAAGAAAGTGTGAGTATTTCTCGAGCTGCCAAGAGACAAGGCGATTGGCTGACACCCCCTTGCGAGTTGCACCTGGTACTCCTGGAAGGTCTCAGAAAGCTGGTGTGCAACTTGGTCCGGCGCGACCTCGCGTACCCACGCAGGCGACACGATCAAGGTTCAGTGCATGCAGCAATGTGTGAAAATGTGTGCTAGAACGTTCATGTAACGACATCGGCACTCGTGGCAAGAAGGGCGATGCGCAGCGATGACGAAAACAGTGCAAAGGGGTAGGAAAATTACGATAAAACGACAGTATCTGGCTTGCTCATAAGAGGCTCGATGACATTTAACAAAAACCCACGGGGCGGTGTCGTTGAGGCTGCTGATCTTTACCAGGCATTCGCTGCTGCTGCCAGGACCAACAACCGTATCCTATCGAACGGTACTAGTTTCGATTCGAAAACAAAGGTCGCGACTGCCGTCACAACAGCCGATGCATTCGTATGCACGGCAGGTCGCACCTCCAAATAAAAAGGTGCAAAACGAAAAAAGCGAGCATCTGCTCTTGCTCCAGCCCACCGGTCAGCTTCGCTCTGCTGGCCAAGGCACGCTTCCAGGCAGTTGCACAGGCCATACCTTCTCGACACCGTGCAGACTAAAACGATTCTCAGAGCGTGCAAAGAGGGAGCATTGGCGCAACACCCAGCCCCTCAATCTCCCAGCGGCAGCTGCCCGGCAGCTACCTGGTAATGTTCCGGCCAAGCGGCGCTATCCTGTGACCATGCTTGTCCCTGCGAAGGCCGGCCTTGACGCATGGACTGAAAGAGAATGAAGGCAGCACTCGTAGTGGCGGTGGTAGCATAGCCAAAGCGCGGCAGTAGCGTTACACCATAACAACGACAACGAGTATGAGCAACTTGACTTTCTCGCGGACTGATCGCTGCAATTGCTGTCGAGCAGCAGGGTGCTGCACCAGCCACCCAGGCCATTGTGTTGGCAACATTTGAGCCATGACAACTACGCTGCACAGGCAAACGAAGGTCACAAGAGGTCTGACTCGGCTTTGCTGACCATGCTGACTGTGCTGGCTGCGCATCACCAGTCCCTACATGCATTACCCTCGACATGCAGAGATGAGCCTCGAAGCGCTCTGCTGTCTCGCCCTTAGCAAAACCACACACTGCTTCGTCTGGAATCCATCATCTCTGGCTTCGGCCCGGGCTTTGCTTGCAAGGGCACTGGCAGCCTGCATGGCAAAGAGACTCTACGATGAAACACGGTCGCATCAGCCTCACAAGAAAAAGCTAGGCGGTCCTTTGGCGTCTCTCCGTCGGCCATGTTTTTCATCCTCAGCCACGAACAGAACACACGGAGGCCATCGTCATACATGCGAAGCATGAAGCAGGAGTCGCGGAACACAACGCTGCCACATCAGGTTGTTCCGAGAGCCAACCGAATCACGTCGACAGTCGGTTTCGACGGGCCTACGCTACCAGCACGCCTTTTCGCTCCTGTACATCTTGAGCAGGCTTGGCACAAAAAGCCTGCCCTGAACCAGGCGAGACCATGTGCCTCAATGTCGTTTTTAAAACGTGACTCTGAACGATGGCGACCTCGGTTCAGGCCACGCAGTGCAGACTGGAATCTGTACAAACCCAGACCTGGCAGTCATGGTAAGGCTCTGCTTGGGCAGCCAGGAGAAAATATTCTGTCCCGATGACTCCCAGCCGCGTTTTGAATCCTCCAGAGTTTACATTGCATCACGATCTTCGGCCACGTTGCAGGTTTACCGAGCTGCAGCTCTGTGCTTCTGAGCTACGTGTGCCCATGGTTGTTCGTTCCTACACATGTGGCCTGCCACGAGGTCCTTCTTGTAGTGAGCATCAGTCAGGCCTGCGTGCCCGGACACGTCCGAACATTCCGACTGCAGAGTCTGCAGAGCTTGAACGAGCATTGACCAGTCGCACTGCAGCCAAGCAGCAAGAAGACGGCGTTCACATTGTCCGCCACACGCAGCATGTACAAGGATGCGATGCTGCCGAAGGGCCCCCATCGCTTGGCAAAAATTTCCATTTGTGGTCGAGTGGGCATCCATGACACCTGGGGCAGAATCTGAAACTTTTGCTTCAAGACCATGCGGCCGCAGCCCAGCCGAGGCTCCTCGTTCTTGGCGGTTATGTGGGCTGGCGGGACAATGTTATAGATCATCTTCATAGCACTCTGGATTGCAACGTCCCCATACGGGATTCCTGACCATGTGTGAACAAGTTCGCGAAGACATAACATCTGGCAACCCCAGCCGCATCCACTCATCACCCACCCTTCCCTTGGCCACTGCCTCAAGTCAAGAAAAGCAACACCCCTGCGAAGTGCTGCCTCGTCTATCTCTTGACAGCTGTATCCCAACATCATCTCTCGACATTGTACCGACCTTCCTAGCCCCAAAGCCGCCAGAAGAAGGGATCCTCCGTGTCGGTGGAGCTGAAAGATGAGAAACATCTCGAGCGTCCATTCGCCAATGCCCGGCAGTTCTGTGAGGCGCTGCCGAAGCTCCTCATCGGAGGCCTAGCCAAGGGCCAGTTGTGCTGCAGATCTCCCAAACTGCAACACATCACGCGCCTCCTCGAAAACTTCGCCGCTCAAAGTGCCATCCAAAAAGCGCTGAGCAATCTTCTGAATGTACTCAATCCTCAGTGCGTGTGCAGATCTTCACGGGCGTACCCTGGCATGTTCAGGTGATGTTGCACGGGTACAGGGCCGTAGGGCAGTGTCGACAGCGGCTGAGGGCCCTCCCTACGAGCGACCTCGGGGGCAACATTCAATCTCTGTTCGTCTGCTTAAGGCCCACTTGCCGGCCAAAGTGGCTTCCGGTATGACAGCTTCGCGACTTCACGGATCCTTCCGAATCAGGGTCCCGGTTAGGGTTTCGGTACTCACACTCGCACTCGAGGCACGCAAGAAGGATTGGTTGGGGACACGTGGACTGAAGTGAAAAGGCAAGACCAGGACGGATTGCAAGCCGCCAGTTTCGGGACCAGGTTTCGAGTAAAGTGCTGAGATGGCTTGAGAGTCCGCAGTAACCCGTGATCCACTTGTAGGGAGAATGATGAAACCAGCACTCAGCCCCCCTCAGCCCCTTTCAAGCAATGCCCATAAAGGAGCCGAAACTTACATCTGTTTGAGTTGTCTGACACCTGAAGATCCTGAAGACTATGGCGAGGAGCCTGTCACAAGACTCGCCAGCCACGTGCTCTGGCTGCAGCACTTTCGTGTCCTTGACTTATTACTTGACAATCTGACGCTCGGACCAGGACTGTCAAAACAGGACCCTTTCCGCATCAAGCCTCGGAAGCACCCTTTGACACCAACTCACCCCCGCTCTCCGGTGCTACAGCGGAGTGCTCTGCCGAGCATCTCGGTTTCCGCAGAGTCCAAGCAGTCGCTCAAACATCCCCTGGCAAACTCGCACACTCAGTTGTTGGTGGCAGACCTCGGATGACTTCACTGCATTGACACGCAGGCCAAGTGGGTCATTGTGTCGCGGCACTGTTTGGACCAGAGTCGTGAAGGGATCCGGCCTGCACTTCACAGAAGCTGCCTGTGGCACCACAAAATCACAGCTAGCGCTGGCCTGTCTTTACCGAGCAGCTCCAAAATGCCCGTCGGTGGCCCGATGAGTTGGACCACATGCCTGGAAATTCTCTGCCCTGGACTGTTGGACACACTGTCAAGATGCTCAGCCTGAATCTCTCATCATTTTGGATCAGGTAGCCCACCTGCGCAAGCCGCGGAGGCAGATACCAGATCAACGAGTTGTAACTTCAAAGTAGTAAATTTCGAACCAGGGCACCCCAAGCTGAACACTTTGACGTGTCATGGCTCGCGGCAGCTGCTGCTCAACATCCATCGGGGGCTCGAGGTCGATTGTACTCAGCTTTGGGGACGAGTCTGGCAAGTCACCTGGGCAGTTTGGTCATCTTCCTCAGACCTTTAACGTCTTGCAGACCGGAAGAAGCCAAGGCACCTCGGACCTGACGGAAGGCGAGCTTGCTGAAAGATTGCTTTGCCGGTGAGCCTGGCTTTGGCCCCGCGGACGACGGCCCAGCCCTCAGCTTTTCCAGCCCTAACGGCCCTGACGGAAACCCGGATCAGAGAGACTTTGGCTTCCGCGGTACTCCTTGACTTCGTAATGGGCTTAGGGCTCAGGCTAAGGCTCTGAACTAGGTGGGAGGCTTGATTGGCCATGCGACATGTGACAGCAACTTACACTCCACTCCACTGGGCTGTATTATGTCACAGGCTCGCTAGGCGCAACGTGCTCCAAGATCGCTTGCTGAAGTTCTCCAGGCTCGTCCACACTTCAGAATTTGCCACTGCCTTGGCCAAGATGCGACGGGCATTTCCATCGAAGCACTGCACTACGCCCTACGACCCAAACGGGTAGGCGCTCTGATGCGGCCTCTCACAGCTCTCACAAATTCGACGTGAGTGGCCTCCTCTTCTGGAGCTTCGGCGATCTCGAGAGAAGCTGCAGCTTTTGGCTTTTGCTCTCCCTCCAGAAGCTTGTCGTACCTCTCGCTGACCTCCTGCACTCAACAAAACCGCTGAATACGAATGTACCCGATGGCCCAACGTCCAATCACACACTGCCGGGACTTGCCGCCTGCCGAGTGTCTGCAGCACCAGCAGTGGCCATGACGATGAGACGGGCAATGGGCTTTATATGCAAGCTCCAGAATGCAGCATGCTTCTGAAGATGCGCGACTTCCTGGGAGGAGTAGGACGGTTCCGGTTCCAAGAAGATGCCTAGACTTTCCAAAAAGGCTTGGCTTGTCGTCACATCTGTTGCAGAGCTGCTGCTTCCTCATGCGTCCGCTTCCTCAGGAGGGAAAGATGAAGTGCTTCATTCACACACACACACACACACACACACGGTCCGAATGCAAGGCCATTTAGAGGAAGGATTAGCCCAGGCTCATGTACAGAATGGCGCGACATAGCTGCTCAGATGTCTGTCCAGGTCGATCTAGCCGACCCATCATCTGCACCAGCTGATCCATCTGCACTGGTCCTCGGAATCCAGAACCTACACGTGCGAGATGTTTTCATCTGAACCAAATTCTTCAGGCGACACGATGTTACACATGCTGGCTCATGCTCGGTGAACGTTGGATTCGTTTCTCCCCGGCAGTGAAACCAGCTATATGACAAGACACGAAGCACAGTTCAAGTGAACTATCGAGACTATTGAGCGACTATTGCTCTTCTTGACTCGCAGGTGCCACGCGGGGCTCAGAGTTCAGAGTCCGATCGCTCGAAAGCCAACTCACAAGACAAGCTATTCTACAAAGCCAAACCCCCAAACCCATCTACGCAAAACAAAGCCTTCCTCCAGAAATGACAAATCCCAGCATCCTTCACCAAATGTCCGCGGATGAAACGTTGAGCTCATGAAACTGTCACGGCATGTTGTGGCTTTATGATTGCCACTCAACATCACCACCACTATCCCCTAGTCTTCAAAATCGTCATCACGTCGTCGTCATCATCATTATCTCATTGCAGTGTGATCATACTTATATCTGATATTTATGTCCACAAGCGTTGTGACGAGGTGTTGCTGTTCGTCTCCTTCTTATTGTGATGATGAATCATTACTTTATCCGTCTCATGTGCCCTACTTATTTTGATTCTGCTTCTGAAGATGACTATCCGATCACCCTCAGTTCCATTACTGTTTCCAACATTATTGGTTCTTAGAGTGTTACTAGTCTGCCTTCAGCATGGTCCTCCTATTACGATTGTGTTGAGCAGGTTTCGACTCACACACTCGCACAAGGCAGGCATGGCTTTGTTTAAGGAGCAGGGAACATTGTCCGCACTCTTGCAGTGACTCTCTCCCTCTCGCTCGTTACCACCACCACAGCGACAAGTCGAACAATAAAAGGAGTCCGCCGACCCCGCTATGGGGAAGCCCTCTGCCCCGCCTTGCCCCCTTTCCCCAACAGTTAAATTCCGCAAAAGCTCTACTCTTCCTGGATTCAATTTTGTCGGGGCCAAGGGGGTGTCGGGTTTCTGTGCGCCCTTCTCTTGGTTTTGGCCTCACCCTCCATGCTCCTGGCCTGCGCGGTCAAACTCCGCAAAAACTGGGAGGAGGTGGGCCCCTGCCTCCCTCTCCTTCCCCCACGCCTCGCCCCTTTCCTTGGCCCCTACCCTCCATGCTCCCGGTCAAATCCCGCAAAAACTCCACTCTTCCTGCTTCAGTTTGGTCGGGGCGAGGTGGGCGACCCTACCCGCTGACGAAATTCCGCAAAAACTCTACTCCTCCTGTATTCCGTTTTGTTGGGG